AGACGCCTAAAACCATGGATTACGGACGGAGTAGTTAGAGCAATAAGGAAAAGAAATAAATTGTATAACAATTATAAAAAGTCTACAAATGATAACACACTCAAATTTAAATACATAAATTATAGAAACATATGTAATAAAATAATTAAAACACTTAAAACTAATTATTACAAGCAGCAATTTACTAAACATCTTAAAGATAGTAAGAAAACGTGGAACCTAATTAAAGAAGTTGGGGGTTTCACAAAAAGAACCGAAACAGCTGAATGTCTCATGAAAATTAAACCAACAGTAAAGGAATCACTTAACGAAATCAATAATTATTTTACCAGTATTGGCAACAGTATAGCTAATAATACACTCAAGACCTTAAATACTACAGACATTGAATTAGCTTCCAAAATCTTTACAAAAAGTGCTCCACTAAACTCATTTGTGCTTTATCAAGTTAATCCGTTGGAAGTAGTAAGTGCCATAAAGGACCTCAGGCAATCTAGTGCAACTGGCTGGGATGACATACCTTGTAGGGTACTGAAAGACAGTTGTCATGTTCTGGCGGAACCTATGATGCATTTGTGTAACCTGAGCTTTAATACAGGTACCTTCCCTAATATATTCAAAAGAACAATAGTTACACCGTTATACAAATCAGGTGACAAAAGACTTCCCACCAACTATAGGCCCATTTCATTGTTGACTTCCTTATCTAAGGTTATGGAAAAAATTGTAAACAAAAGACTTTTAAGATATCTAGAACAACATAAATTTATATCCAATAACCAATTTGGATTTCGATGCGGACGATCTACGGATGATGCTGTTCAAAATCTTACATCACAAATAGTCAATCATCTGAATGCGGGTGATAAATGCCTTGGCGTATTTTTGGATCTTCAAAAAGCATTCGATACAGTGTCTATTCCCATCCTACTGGCACGTATGGAAGGCTTTGGTATAAGAGGTACCCCGCTAATGTGGTTTAAAGACTATCTGAGTGAAAGAAAACAAAACGTACGACTTTATAACTTACTAAGTGACAGCGCATACTGTACATATGGTATTCCACAAGGAAGTACACTGGGCCCCACGATGTTTGTGATCTACATTAATGACCTGTGTAATACAGTAGTAAATGGTGCAACAATTCAGATGTTTGCAGACGATACTGTACTTCTATTTCGGGAACGAACCTGGAACTCAGTATACAAGTTAGCTGAAGAAGGTTTAAAAACCGTTACTGCATGGCTGGAAGACAACCTACTATCATTAAATACGTCTAAAACAAAGTTCTTAAGCTTTAGCATTACAAATGCTTGCAAGCCGAGTGTAAATTCAAAATTAGTAATACATAAATTTCCTTGGTTTCCAAACACCACACCTGAATGTAACTGTCCGCACTTATTGCGTAGTGACAATGTAAAATACTTGGGCGTAATTATTGATGACAAGTTAAATTGGTTAGCACATATCGCTGCTGTTAGTAATAAATTAAGGAAGCTCATATATGTGTTTAAAAACTTAAGAGATGTTTTAGATAATGAGGCTATAATGAAAGTATATAAAGCCCTTGCAGAATGTGTTATGACTTACTGCATTAGTTCTTGGGGTGGGGCAGCTAAAACACACCTTATCGAACTCGAACGTGCACAACGAGCTATATTGAAAGTTATTAAAGGCCTACCTTTTAGACACCCGACTGAGGACTTATACAAAATATGTGGCGTACTTACCATACGAAAGTTATATATCTTCCATTCTATTCGTAAATATCACAAAAGTACTGCTTCTCAAATACAAATAAGTGATAAGAGGACGGTCCGCTATCCCTTGCCTGCCTACAAGAGCAACTTCGCTAGAAGACACTTTAACTATTCTGCTACATTACTGTACAACAAATTAAATACAATTTTTAAAACCGCTCATCTAAGTAATCATAATATTAAGTCAATTTTACTAAAGTGGTTAAGTAATTTTGACTATGACGCTACTGAGAATCTTATCGTTTCCACTAAATAATTCTTATACAATATTACGACGTTTACACGCACATACACACACGCACACGCACACACACACACACACACACACACACACACACACACACACACACACACACACACACACACACACACACACTTTTTATTTACCTTATTATTATTGTTTTTTTTTTCTCTCTCATTATACTTTGTTAAGCTATATGTTATTTTTGATGTCATTCTAATTAATTTTTTATACCGTTTGCTATAATAGTTTGTCACATTACAACTATATGTCACTGAAACGGGGAAGATGCTGTAGCCTGTAACACAGTTTTCAACTACCACGGGCTACAGAGCTTCAATATGATTTGTTTGTAAAAGTTATGTGAGAAACAATAAATTATTATTATTATTATTATGTGTGGGGTATCTATATAGTTTTCTCATCTGGTTGGGATGTATAAATATATAATTATAAACGAAAATGAAAAGATAAACATACAAAAATATCAATAAAATAAAATAAATATGAAAATACATAAATAAATAAAAGCCCAACCAGATGGAAGCCCTCGGCAGGGGAGACCAAACGGCCGAGGGTTAGGGGGAAAGGGAAAGAAACCGGCGGACGATGCGGGCGGTATCGAGGAGCACCGCCTTCTGCATTTGAGCCTGGAGCGGTCCGCCACGTAGTCCCAGCCGCCTCAGATGACCCGAGAGGCTGACTAGGATTAGCCCGTTTGCAGAGACGACTACAGGAATAATTTCGGTCGGCAGACCACCCCACATGTCGGTCACCTCGTGAGCCAGGTCCAGATATTTGGTTTGCTTATCTGTTTCGGCTTTCACGAGGTTCTCGTCACACGGAATGGTAATGTCGACCAAAAATATCCTTGACTGTGCCCGGTCCATCAGCACAATATCAGGCTTATTCGCAAGAATAAGCCTTATAATACGGCAACTTCCGATCCACGAAACCGTATTTCAGAGCGAGCTCCTGGTGTAGAATTCTGGCTACTAGGTTGTGCCTGTGCAAGTACTCAGAGTTAGAAAGCGCCGAACAACCGGAGATGACATGCCTAAGTGACTCACCGGGATGGCGACAAGCTCGACAGATGTCGATGGTGCCATCCTTTAGGATGTATCTCCGATAGTTGTTGGTCTTAATAACCTGATCCTGTATTGCACAGACAAAACCCTCGGTTTCCCCGAAGAGGTCACCAAAGCGTAGCCAGTGGAGAGAGGTTACTGTGTCTACGAAAGGCCCATGTAGAGACTTGTAGAACCTCCCGTGGAGCTCCTTCTCCTTCCATACGGTCTCCCGGTCGGAAATTGTCTGCACTGCCGGGTCTTGCCATTGCTTGTTGGCTAAGGATAGAGGGGTAAGTCCTTTATCACAAGAAATGACGTCCTTATAGAATGGATCATCCGATCTCGCCAGGAAGTAATTACGAAGGCTGCACACTTCGCGATTATGCATGGTGAGCGCGCTCAAGAAGCCACGCCCATTATGCTTTCGCGGCAAGTACAGCCTCATTACCGACGATCTCGGATGATGCATCCTGTGGGACGTCATGGTAGTGCGGACTTTTCTATCCAGGGCGTTAAGTTCAGTCTGAGTCCACCTGAGTATTCCAAAGGTATACATGAGGACAGGTATGACCCAGCCGTTATATGCTTGTGTCTTATTCACACCGGACAAAAGGCTGTTAAGCACTTTGGTCAAGCGTGCATAAAACACGTCGCAAACTGACTGTTTCATACCAGCCTCATCGATACCAATGTTCTGTGACATATATGTATCGGTATGTTTCAGCCTCGGAAAGGGTCCTTAAGTTGACGGGCATAGACAAGTCTATGCCCTCAGAGTTAGCAACCCTACCCCTCTCAACATGGAGGACCGCACACTTATCCGTCCCCAGCTCCATTCCAATGGAACTGCTAAATTCACAAGTGATGTTTAGCAGTTCCATAAGATGGGAGCGACTGGAGGCGAATAACTTGAGGTCATCCATATAGAAAAGGTGGGTCACTTTTGTCCCTCCTTTCCGTAGCTGAAATCCCCTCCCGGAGCCCTCCAGTAAGGTACTGAGAGGGTTCAGAGAGAGGCAGAACCATATTGGACTCAGACAATCGCCCTGGAAGATACCCCTTCTTATCCTTATGTGGTTCTCCGCAGCCATCATCCGCTCGCCCAGATGACAAAGGATCGTACTCCACTGCCCCATACACTGCTCGAGGAAGTCTCTAACTGTACAGTCTATCTTGTACAGTTCGAGGACTCTCTTTAGCCATGTATGGGGCACCGAGTCGAATGCCTTTCTGTAGTCTATCCAGGCGGCGGAGAAGTTCCGACGGTTGCGTTTCACCACTTTGCCAATGACCGCGTCAATGAGGAGTGGTTCCTTGGTTCCACGACCGCCGCCCCGACATCCATTTTGAGCGCGCGACATCACCTGATTTGAGTCCAGGTGACGAGTGATTCTTAAAATGGCGTAGGGAAGTGACGACCCCATCGCCCGTTGACGTGACGGTTATGTGACAAAACCGCTACGTCCGCGCAGTCAGTCAGCACCTTGCCAAGAGGTGTGAGCGCCGTGCCTCGGCAAAAATTGATGGTGCAAGGGCCCGCTTGTGCATATGGCCTCACCATGAAACGGCGCCGGGTCTGGGCGTCTCCCGTTAAATGACGCCCTGTATGGATGATGGAACATAGAAGATTGCGCAAAGGGCCGCTGCCTGGAGGTCGTCAGGGCGCGTCTGGAGCTGGCGCTGGACGCGACAGCATGCGAACCGCCAGCCGAGCGCGAGGTGCTGCACGACCACCCAGCAGCCCCTCGCATCCATCATCCCCACCAGCTTGCTTGGTGTCGGCAGGGTCTTCGCAGGCCCAGCAATCGGCACCCGCCACTGGTGGAGTACGCCGCATGCGATGGACCATCAATATGAATTCAAACGCATTGCGGGCGTATTTTAGGGCGAAAGGGGGGAGAAATTGGAGGTTTCGCGTATCGGGCTAGGATGCATCGTCTTTTTACTGAGCTGGAGCCATCTATTACTGTCACCGAGCAAAACCTGGCAGACCGAGTTCGGTATATCTTACGCTCAAATATATTTGATGGCGCCGAACTCGAACGGCTACGACGTGAGGCTGTTCCCTCATCAAATGAAAACGCTACGACTGAGGGTGCGGTGCCACAAGTTGCAGAACAACCCGCACACGTGGATGCCGCCGAGAATACCCCAGTGGTTGCTGATTCAAATGATGATGGAACATTCACCCAGGAACTAGAAATAGAGCAAAAGAGGAGTACATTGGAAGAGGCGATTATGGAAACGCGCAGTACACCTCTCGAAAATCGACCGCGACTTCCCCCGCATAGCCCTAAGCAAGCGGAATCGGGCTGTCGTGAGGGCTCTGAACCCAATGCTGGTGACCTATTTGGAAGCCAGCCGGGACCTTTGCGAGACGGACTCAATTCTCTTTGGCGCCGCACTGGCAGTCTGCCGTATTATAGGCGCCAAACTTTCCACGGCTGGACGCGCTACTGGACAAAGTAGTGCTATCCCAGCCTGGAGAACAAGAATTGAAGAACGTATCGCAAAGGCTAGGGCCCTCATCGGCAGACTGATATGCTTCAGGTCAGGCAATACCAGGCCAAGGATTGTGCGCACCGTCAGGATGGCGTTTGCTGGGACAAATGTTAGTTTGTCCCAGCCGGATATAATGCAAAAACTGACGGAGCGCATAGACGACCTGAAGCAGAGAATCGCTGCTTGGGGAAAGCGAATTCGGCGATATAACGAGAGGTCGACACGGTTCAACCAGAATCGTCTCTTCCAGAGTGATCAGAAGAGGCTCTATAAATCATTGGAGCGACCAATGGTAAGTGGAACGGGCCCAGTACCGAATCAGGCCGACACGGTCGCATTCTGGCGCAGCCTGTGGTCAGAGCCCGTAAACCACAACGAGGGCCCTTGGACGGAAGTTGTGGCGAGTCAGTGTGCGGGTATTACGCCCATGGACCCCGTCACCATAACGCCGGATGACGTAGCTGAGGCGGTCCGTAGGGCCCCGAACTGGAAAAGTCCGGGACTCGACGGGCTGCATCACTACTGGCTGAAGGGGTTCGTGGTGTGTCACACTGTGCTCGCCCGACAGTTTCAAGAGGTTCTCAACCAGAAGTCGCTCCCGAGCCTCTTCACTACTGGGATCACCCATTTGGTTCCTAAAGGCCAGAGTACCACAGACCCGAGCAAATACCGCCCCATCACATGTCTACCGACCATATATAAGACACTAACATCCATTTTGAGCGCGATTATTATTATTATTATTATAGTTTTCAGATTTGTTTCTCTTTGTATATGTCTAATGATCTAACATGATGACAAATTTCAAGTTTCCTAATTACCCAGAAACGGCTTAAATTTTAATAAGTGTAAAAATAATCCTAAATTTCCAATCGTGTTGTAGGCCTAAAAGTTTTTGAGTCACAGGAGGTTCGAATGTTAATCAAAATGGTTAAATATTTTCGCCTTTTTCTTTTTCTAACTTGCCTGACAGATTATGGTGTGTCGAGATAAATAATTAACAAGTTTATTTATATAATACATCTAGATTTATTAAGAAAAATTTAAAGATCTGTAGTGGGCTTCTTTTTGCTGAGCTGTTCTGCTTCCTGCATTGTGTCTGGTAGTGTGGTGCCGAGCGTCTCTGGCGTTGTAAAGATCAAAAGACCGGATAGAAGAGCGAAACTTCCAAATAGGACTGAAGGAAAGCTCGCCCATACTTCCAGCGCCTGCAATTTGTAAAACGTAGGTATTAAAAATAAATTGGTGATTTAACTCTTGTCCTGTTTGGTAAGTCATATATAAATATTTCAATTACTTAATTACTGAGTATTCTGCGAACATGGAAACTGTTTTTGTCAATATTCGGATTCTGTTTCGATTTTGGAAGAAAATACAAATTGTTTGAGCTTATTCGACATGCTTAGTAATCTTTCTCGTGTGTAGAATTTTCGTCAAGTGGCAAGCTGTGGATATAATGGCTATGCAGAAATATAAGAATTACCGACAGATAACACCAGTTCCGCTCTGCTGAAAGTAACAACCGATAAAAAAGAAAACAATCGCGAGCGGCAGTCACGTCTGTCTCCCTATGATTAGAGCGTCTAGTAGATGGAGTAAAGATTTTATGAGGCTAGCAAGAAACTAAATGTCACAGGTGGCTAATGCTTATAGTTTGTGACTATCTTTGACGGAAACTTATTTTCAGCAGTATTCCCTGATGGAATTTGATTTCAATTTGCTCGGTATTTTCTGATTTTCACCTATGAAAGGCTAACTGACACAACATTTCCCACTACCCATTTTAAGTAGCTTAAAGTATGTCAAAGGTGGGGGATCAATCATCCCAAAATTTAGATATGCAGTGGAAATATACTGCGATTGAGTCACTCACCTTGTAAAGTTTTCCTCACCTTTGAAATAAAAATCCGATAAACTTGGCAACACATACAAAACACGGCCAGTTTTAGGCTATAATTTAGGTAATATATTTCATACACTACAATAACCATGTTTTGGTAGTGTTATAACTAAGCAATAGCAAGCATTTAAGTGGTGGCCCTAGAAAATTGAAATAACTTAGGGACCTTCAAGAAACGAGCTTACTCCATTTAAAAAGCCGGCAATGCACCTGCAATTCCCCTAATGTTACAGTTGTATAAGGGCGGCGGTCGACACATATCACAAAGGGAGCCGTGTGCTCGTTTGCCCCCTATTTTATAAAGAAAAGGGAATTAACTAACCCATATCGCCCCATCGATGTCGTAAGAGGCAACTGAGAAAACTTAAAACAGCGGTTTCAAACCTGCCTACTAAACCACCTGAGGATGCCTGGCTTAGTGGCGAAACACGTGTCGTATTATCGACGGTTATGTGTCTTTCCTAGTGTAGAGGTGTTGGGAGTATTGGTGCTGGATTATGTGGTAAATGGCGTCTCGCAACGCAATTGATGGAGGGCAGGAGGTGCTTTTTAATTAGGAGAGACACATCATTTTATTTTATGACTCGGATCTTAGTTAGTTAATTTTTAACATCCTTAATATAATATATTTCCGCGAAGAAATGCCTGATTCTATCAATTAACTATGGCATACATCCCCCATGTGAGACAATCTATGGGAAAGTTCTATGTTCAGCAATGGACTTTTGTGGAATGGATGATAATAAAACAAGACTCACAAGAGCTGGCGTCAACGGCGCAGTAATGGATCCAAGTCGGCCCACCATGGAGGAGAAGGCGAACAGACTGTGACGGTACTTGGTGGGATAGAGCTCCGCCGTGTACACGTACACCGACGTCATCACCATAGCGATACTGTACTTTCCTATCAGATATAACGCCAAAGATAGACCTTCGTTACCTGAAAATGAATCAGAAGTCTCATATGTATTGAAAACCAGCGCTATTGTTATGGCAACAGGATAAGCTGGGTGAAGTCCTTTTGCCTAATGCGCCACAAAACATATCATGAGAAACATTTTTTTGGTTTTTGTTTTTTTTTTACTGTAATTTATAGATATATATACTGATCAAAAGTTAGAATAAAAAACTACGCGGATTGATCTTCTTTTTTATTGTAGTAATCGCGAAACTTCTTACTTGAAATAAAAATATTTAGAAACTTATTTTGGAATTGCTACTTAAAATTTACCTACAGTGAGAGAAAATTAGTCTGGCTCACCAGGAAGGGTAAATGGAATAGGTAAACTCACGTTTCGCGGCAGCGGCGATCAACTCTAACTTGGCTTCAACGATATCTTCGGATGTGGAAGGCTTCAGTCTTCCTTGACCACACTCCTACGTGATTATATAGTCTATGCACACATCTGGGTCGACCCGGCACACTCACTAACGCTATTTACATTGATTTTTATATTGGAAGGCTAAGACAAGAACAGCCATTACCGATGCAGTTCGTCTTGAGTCTTGATTACATGTGGGCATTGATCGCGTCGACTTCTTTTACAGACGCTTTTGTTGTAGGCCAACAGATGGCACCATAAGTTTTGTTTTTTTGCGGTTAATTGGAAAGAAAGATGCGATAGAAAATTAAGGAAGGCAAGCCAGTACACATATTTTTGAAATGTTATATTTGTTAAATTGATTTTATTTTTATTTTTGATATACTATTTTTAATTGATGTGTCTACAAATGTTAAAATTTATGTGGTTAGCGCGATTTAATTATTTTTAAACATTTGTTTTAATGGATAAGCTATTTATCAAAAAAATAATGAATATTTATTTACAATCAGATTATTACGAGAACAATTTTAAAATGAAAAAAAAAAAACAAGCACGTCGTTTATACGTGGTAGAGCCATGCTGCAGTTATATTTGAAGTATAGTTGTAGCACGAATGGGTTAGCTCGACCAAGGAAGGACCACGCTCTCACAGAATACCAGCGTAAAATAGTAGCTTAATACTGATGTGTTTCGTATGGTGAGTGTAAAGAACTTGAGACTCTTTTTACTAGAAACTAGGCATTCCATCTTAGTCCTCACGGGTGACAACGCATCTGCATTTTGATTCGTAATCGAGGATACATGTAGATGTCTATGGGCCACAGCAACCACTTACCATCAGGTGGACTGTGTGCTCGTTTGTCACCCTATTCTATAAAAGTAAAAAACGTCGATTTCTTGTAATTTAACTGTGCAAGTTTTCGAATCATCATCATCATTACAGCTCTTCACAAGTCCACTACTGAACATCCTCCTCCACAGACTGCCGCAAAGCATGGTCCTGAGCCACTTTCCTTGTCATGAGTTTTTCATTTATGTTCTAAGTTATAATTAGTACCTATTACTAAGTTAGTGTTAATTATATTTATTGCTATTATATTATTTAATTTTTGTCTTTCTCAAAATATTGTTAAATTACCAAATAAATTATAAGGTGTTTTTATATACATCGAGTGTATGATAGAAAAGCAAGTACATCTTTTGCTAAACTTAAAATCAAAACACAATTTTAAAACATAGATGAATCGATTATAACTCCTTTAACTTTAAAATAAGTTCTAATTAATGGTATTTATTTAAGTTGATGATGCATGTAAGGAATAAATAAAGCTAAATAAAAAAATTTAATTCCCGTTTATGACAGTCGTGATTTATATTACATGGCCGAAATAAAGTACTTCTTATTAGGTACGTAAAACCAAATATCAGCCTGACGGCTGACAATATGCATTTTCGTATATTTATTTATGGCCCCATTAATATTCATTATTCTTTAATAATTCTTTTATAAAAACGTTACCCCCACACCAGGATTTTTTAAATTTAAATAAGTTCATATTTTTTATAGTATCAGGTAGTTTATTGAAATTTCGTGGGGCAATACCAAAAAAGCTTTTTTTCATTAGTGATGTTTCACATTTTATGTAACATAACTTATTAACATATTGGGTGCGTATTGAATTCTTTCTAATTGTAGATAATTTTTGGAAAAGAAATGGATACTTTTTTTACAAAACTTGCTG